GTCTTAAAATATATGAAAATGATATATTTCATAAAACAAAAAAGTCAACAAATTTTTAAAAATGAATTATATTTGAGGAGGAAGCATAAAAATTTATGTCATGTTAATTACTAGATGTGATAAACATTACCATTGAAATCTACCCGATGAGTTTATGGACATACACAGGTGCCAAGGATCAGAGTGCAACTGCTTAGTAATAATCAGATACATACAGGTTAGAGACCCATGCACCAACATCTCAGCACTCAGTCCAAAAACAATGTGTCTTTCTGTAAGAAACAGTATATTTTATAATGAAATGGAGATCTTTTTTAAAGGTTAAAAACTCATTCAATTTTATGTCTTATAGGGTTTATACTTAGTTCAATATTTTATAACTGTATTAATTCAACAGTGAAACTAAAAATTTTATAGCCACTTTTGAAAGAGATGAATCTTTGCTCTGGAAACCCAAAAACAATGTGTCTTTCTGTAAGAAACAGTATATTTTATAATGAAATGGAGATCTTTTTTAAAGGTTAAAAACTCATTCAATTTTATGTCTTATAGGGTTTATACTTAGTTCAATATTTTATAACTGTATTAATTCAACAGTGAAACTAAAAATTTTATAGCCACTTTTGAAAGAGATGAATCTTTGCTCTGGAAACAGTTATTGAGTATGTTAAAGATGTAATGAAATGCTTCTTCTGAAAAATAATATATATATATATATGAACCCATAATATACAATTTGTTTATATTAAACAGTATTATTGGAGTTATAAGATACATTTTTATTAAATTATGAAATTTAATAATGGGTAATTAGATTTTGATAATTTTCTTTCAAAAGAGTTTCTGGGGAAAATTAATTAATTATATTTATTTTTTAAAATAGTCATGGCTAACAAAAATGAATAGAACATATTGAGTCTAGTGCATGCAGTCACCATTGTTACAAGTTCATATGAGCAAGTTTCCTGAGGCCTGAAAGACTCTTTTTCCTTATGATCATGCACCAAACCTGGCTCTTAAATCTTTTCTCCCCTTCTTCTACTCAGTGGTCCTTGAGTCATGGGCAGCTGAAGTTTAATATAGAGGTCTTATGCAGGAACACTCAATCTGCAGTCTCTTCTGCGTGTATCACACTGTTGTATGAGAAAGTTTCACTAGTGAAAGTTGTGGGATGTATTAGTATTCTCTCTACCCCATTCCACTATGTTCCATGAGTCCTAGGTATAGAGGTTCTGCTGCAAGTGTGTCACTTAGGGATGGGCATCTCTCAGACATATACAATAATCCTGAATGGAACTGGGGGAATGCACAGCAGACCCCAAGAGTAGCCATCAAACTATTGGCAACTGATTACTGCTGGATGAGGTAAGAGCTGATCTTCTTTAAGGGACTGATTCTAGATAGGCTGAATAGACTCCAGTGGATGGACTTGTACTGAGGGATATCTGGGTACAAATGCTTGACCTGATAGGATTTAACATACAAGGCAGAATCAAACTGGAAAGGAAAGCAAACAGGGAGAACTAAGTAATATCTAACAAAATACACTGAAAAAATTTTAGAAGAAAAAGATCAGTACACATTGATGTAATGAATCATCAAGAGAACACTGCAGTTCTAAATATACATAAATATTCATAAAACAAATACCACGAACGTAAAGACACACACTGATCAACAACAACCAACAACAAAAAAAGAGTGACTCCTTGGCATATACCCAAAGAACTCATCCTGTTGCAGAGACACTTGTACATCCAT